TTTTTTTTTCACAAAAAGCCACCAAGTGTGGGCTTCTTTGGTGCCTTTCTTAAGCTGAGGCTATAAGGTCTAAACACGAAGAGTACAATTCATTCTACAAAACTGTAAAGATTTAAAGTGCATATGACTTCAGAAGACCGACAAAACCAACAGCAGTTTATGGTGTTTGCCTCACCCTAAAACGAATTTTTGTCCCTGTTGCTGCTGCTGTTTGAAATGATTGGCATATTGTGGAAGCGGTGGTCACCACTGTAATTGCTTGCATATTTCTTGTGAACTTGGTGTTGGTGTACAGAACAAGTGAATGGAAAGCGAATGCTGACGGTAGTGGTACAGGAGTATGCAAATTTATGATATGGAATAAAAAAGGAAGTGGAAAGAAAGCTCTTGCTTTTTTTCGTGCTGTTTTTATGTTTGCCTTTCTGTCTTCATTGAGTACTAGATATGAAACACAAGAAAACAAGAAGAAAAAACTTGGTTTTTAAAGCAAAAATTTTTGGACGATTAAACAACAAATGAAAATGCCTTTCAATGATGTTTGATATGTGAAGTTTTTTGATCGGTTGAATTTGTTCTCCTTTGAGTAAGCATTAAATAAGTAGGGTGGGGGTGTATGCAGTTTGTGGGTGATGGTCATGATGGTAATGATGGGGTTGATGATGATGAAAAACGAATAATGTCAACACTACTTAATCAAGTATGGTTTTTGGCATTTATAAAATATTCCTCTTGTCAACTAACCAGCTAACTAACCGATTAACTAACTAACTTAGGGTAACCGCTGGAAAGATCGGGTGTTGCTAATGCTGCCACTGACTACATTATTATATTGTTAGTGGTAGATAGTGGTGGAAGTAATGTTTAGTCGGCGATAGCGATGTTAATGGTGTTGCCGATGATAATGATAATGCTTCGTTCACTTTTATGGATGGTATTTTTCTGAAGAGCTTTTAATTTGATTGAAAGCTATTTAACAGACATAGTTGGAATATTTGGTGCTGTTTTATATGCCGCTGAGAAGGAATTTTTTTGATTAAACTTTGACAAATCTATATCAATAGTTTTTAGTAAAAAACTAGCAAATATAATTGTCTGTGTGATTGTGTATGTACATTTGAAAACAAAAACGTTCAAAAAGGAGTATATTTATTGCTTAGCTACTTACTAATGGGTCGGGAACTTTATAAAGGTAAAGAGTCTGTATTTAGCAGTTATTTACGGCATTTTGGCATATAAATGAGTTCACTAAAATATTGGGATAGAGGTGGGAAGAAAGAGAAAAGTGAGGAAAATATAGAAATCTAAGTGACTGCGACAAAAAAGAAATGGAAGAAGAGCATACAAGATAAAGATTCGGTTGTTAAAGGCTTTCTTCTTTTCCTTTATTTGCGATTGAATTTTGGGAAGTGTTTCAGCAA